TAAAAGCGTCATGTAAAATAGTTAATATGACGTTTTATTTCAAAAGTGTCATATGAAACTTGTTAAGACGTTCAAAACCATCATAAACGTTTTACACCAGTTTCAAGTAGGATGTTTTATTGTTTCGTCTTATAATATTATATTTGATGTAATTTGATGAACATATGACGATGTTTGTGCACTTTGAATTCTATTTTCTTGGCATAAACTCGATGATTTTCAAAACACATGTAGGGTTTAGATTCACGATTGGTTGTCAATTAGTTCGTTGACAACAATTAGAGGGTAAACAACAAGGGTATGGTATCTGATTGGTTTGAGCTTGAGCTCCAAATGTCAAAGTGCCTGGAGATCTCAGGTTCAAATCCAGGAAGAAATAAAAATCCCCTTGTGGTCATGGAGGTTCAAATGCGATAACTTCGAGCTACCCGCAAAGCAGGTGGTTATTATAGGAACAGTTGGCTCGCATAACGGGTTGGATATCCAGGTTAATGAAAAAAACAATTAGAACGTAACGTATGTGGTTTCCATTTCAAAACTCGAATTAAACAAAAAATTTATACAAACAAGCCCTTCAAGTTTGGTATATATTTCAATTTCCACTCCTTTATGCAGGTCGGTTGACATGTCAACTACCACGTTAGCTGACTGGATCTACATCAACAGACAATAGCTGTGACGGTAAGATCATGGAGAAAAATTCAGTTATGTTGTTAATTTGTATAAAATAATAACATGCACAGTACATTCTTATTCTGTGTATTGAACATTTCATATCATTTATAATATTTTTTTAAAGAGATGCAGCTTTTTTTAATCTGGGAAATACGAAGGGTCGTTTAGGTAATTGGGTAAGTTTTGAATTTGGATCTTATGTTCAAACTTCAACAATATTTAAGATACAAACGCAACTGATTTGAAACAATCGAAGTTTTTTTTTTCAGGGAACAAATATGAGTTGTGTAGGAAAGTGAACGGTTTTATACATGCTAACAAGTGAACCCATCGAGCCCCAAGGTTAGAAACTGAATCAACTGTTATAGAAAAACGAGATAGCTGATATTGAACATCAACCGGTAACAACTTGATTGATCTGCTTTGAACTAATGAGCTGTGGTAAAAACTCACAAGGCGGAATTGACAGTATTTGAATTGACAATATAATTTAATAAAAATCTGGTATTGAATTTATTTATTAATTAATCTATTAAATTAACGTTATATTTATTTCAGGATCGCTATTAAATAATCAAGAATTTAAGATGTTATTTCAATAATAAAATGAGAACAGTCACACTCTTTGTACAAAAAAAAGTTCATTTTATAAAAAAAGGGTACATAAAATCAATTTCTACTTATTAATTTCGTCTTCATATACATCAATATGAGGACCTACTTTTTTAATTTTCAATGTATTAATTGGTCTGATTCTAATATTTAAACAGATAAACAATACCCAGATGACGAGGAAATTAATAGGTAGAGATGCATTTAGAGGTTGTTTGTTTACCTCTTAATAGTTTCATTAAGAGACATTCTCTGAATCGTTAAAAGGTGAATCTTGTTTATAGTTTGCCTCTTAATGATTTTGTATCATGAGTCTCCCTTAATCATTTAGCGCCCTAATTTCATTATAAACAATTATCAAACAATTACATTTCTTTTTGCACTATATCATGAGAGTCTCTTAATTATTCTGACCACTTAATCATTTTGCACCAAACTATTCAGTAACTGCCAAACAGCCTTTAGTAATACATAAAGATGCACTTAACCAATCCATAAAAAAACCGACCATTGGATCATGACTAAATAAAGACAAAAATAAAAGTGTATATAAAATAAAATTTAAAGTTATAATAACAAGTAATTATTGGTTAATAATATTTAAATTCATTATATTTAAATATTTTGGTGACAAATTAAATGGAAATAATTGATGTGTAATGTTATGTGGTCCATGCTAAGATCAGCCGTCATGCGTTTTTTTAAGTCAACTCTCATTTCTATATAAATATTGCATGTGTTATTGAAGAAACTTCAATATTTGCATTTTAAATATTTTGTTTATAAAAATGAAAAAAAAAATTACTGATCTGAGGACGTTTCCGTCTTTTTGTAGATACTGTGTATATGACTAAAGATCGACAAGGACGATAAATAAATAAAACAAAATATAAAAGTTTGAGTGAACTAGAATCCATATGGTTTGTCGAGAATAACACCTTTCGTTCCTGCAGTTTTGAAATTACGAGATGCGAAAACGTTAGGATTTGGTCCATTTATCTAATGGCCGATAAAAAAGTTCTGTTAAACGAGGGGCATTTGCGTCATTTTATCGATTTTTGTTTTTTACGTAATCGAAACCAATTTTATGATTTTGCTTCATGTGGTTTTTTATTAGATGAAAGACAAATAAAATTGATAAAAGAACGAAAATTTTCCTCATTTAATGGAGCTTTTTAATGATCGTTAGATGACGGAACCAAATATGAACTATTTTACAAACCATGATGACCATTTTGTAATTTCGAAATTACAGGGGACGAAAAGTGTTATTTTCGACAAAAACAGGGAACAAAATTGTAGTTTACTCTAAAAGTTTATATCATATGTTAAATAAAAAGTCCTACAAATTCAAAACAACATAAATGTTTTAAAATAACGAAGTAACGTATTATATTCATTTAATATAACTGATTTTTGAAACCCAGAATCATGACTCGTGAAATCAGCTAAAGAGTAAAATCCTAACACATTATAATTAAGTTATAGGTTAAAACATATATAACTGGATCCCAAAAAAATCGGTCGTCACATTGGAACACCCTCTCATATGGGCAGCAAAAAAAAAACACTGGTAAAAATAATATTGCAATGCTTATGTAATAAATAAATATTACGCAACATCTAGAACAATGATCGTTTTCTGAGTTTTTTTTCCTCATGTACCGAGTTTTTTTCTTCCATACTGTATACCAATCAATTCAGCATTAATATATGGTAAGTAATGAGGCTGATTTAAATAAAAATGTTAAATACTATAAGAAGGTAAAAAGGGTAAAATTAATATTAAGATTGAATCATTAAAAAATATATTTAACGATACATATGTAGACTTGAGATTATGTGAGACCAGCTTGTTTTCGTGAGACCCATGAAGTTTCAAGTGTAAAAAAATGGTCTCACGGGTCCCACAAAAACAAGCTGGTCTCACGTGAATCCAACCTCACATATGTAAACTAACGGTACAAAAATTCATATGCTTTCCCATATGTATATTTGAATTGATTTTTTTTATATTAATAAATTAATATTTTGAATTACGCTTAGTAATTGTTATTTTTGTGTTTTTTAAATTGTAAATAACATTTAAATTTTTAGGGTTAAACTGAGTTAACTCGGTTTATTTTTTGATTTAAATTATTTTTTTATGCACGCTCCTAGACTCAATTAGTTGTTTACTAATTATATATTTATTATTTTGTCATTTTTAATAAATATTTTAATATTCATATAATTGTATTTATAGTGTCAATATGTTATAACATTTTCTATAAGATATAAACTAGAGTAAATATCATTAAACAAACAAGCAAACAAAATACCCCTTATCACCGGCCTTGACCGCTTAGCTAATCAAACCATGAAATCTGGAAGTTTTTAGGGGCCGTTTACCAAACACTTAATCGGTAAGCGTTTACCGGTAAAATTCAACACTATCATTGACTTACCGGATAAGATTTTAGTTCAAAAAACGAAATTATATGCAACAATTTTCCTAGTAAGCTCTTACCGTGGTAAGAGTCGTTACCATCACTTACCGGGTAAGACTCTTGTCATTGTCTCGCTCTTACTGGGTAAGATTCTTGGTCCTTACCATATTCATCCGGTAAGGTAACGTGACTTGGTAGACTCTTACCCAGATAAACGTTTGATAAACGGTCCCTTAATCCTCGTAGAAATCCACGCAAAAGTCGCAAATTGTATTTCAAAGACCAAATCTGGATGGCGAAAATGGGGTGGACCACAAAATCTCCTCTTTGACACAGCGAAGCCTTGAAAAATTTCCACTGAACAGTAAATCTTCCAATGAAGTACTCGAGACTACATCCCATACCCACCATATGAACACCTTTTTCCAGAGTCGAAAACTAGGTCAGCAACTAAAGAAACAGTGTTAGACAGATTCTAGTTTTGTGATTTATCAGATACAAAAGGTGTTTATTTACTTTTAAGTCTTGACAACTGTAATATGAAACTTCATCTACATAAAGTCTAAAAACCACTTTGAGATTGTTTAAAAGATCAAGGTTATATTTGACAAAATAATTGTTATCTAATAACTAACCATATTTAATAAGAACCAGATGATAATAATAAAAAAACCTAAAAATATATTTTGAAAATATAAAAAACATAATTGAAAAAAGATTTAAAATAATTAGAGTTATAAAACGTAGGGACTGTTTGGCAGTTGCTGAATGGTTTTGTACAGAATCATTAAGTGGTCAGAATGATTAAGAGGCTCTCATGATATAGTGCAAAATGAAATATAATTGTTTGATAATTGTTTACGATGAAATTAGGGCTCTTAATGGTTAAGGGATGTTCAGGATACAAAATCATTCGGAGGGTTTTAAAACCATTAAGAGACAGATTTTTTTTTGCTAAACAAGATTCATCTATTAACGATTCAGAGATTGTCTCTTAATGAAACTATTAAAAAGTAAACAAACAACTCCGTATGTTATTTTCTTAAATAATCACATGGCGAAATGTTTTTTTTACTTTAATTTCTTGCGGTTTTCAACATATTCTGGCTCATCCCGGTTAAAAAATGAATCAACCGTCAAAATAAATGGAGACATCGTGACTCAAAAGAGGGGAGGGAAAACGGCGTTATAACGCCGTCTTCAAGTTATAAAAGACGAAACGAAGACCGTAATCACCACCGTATGAGAACGAACCATCTCTTTATTCTCTTTATCAAAATCACACACCCACACATACACACACACAGAGGGTCCTATCTTTCATCATTGTCAGCAGAATTCTCTATGTTTTAACACGAAAGAGATTCAAGAACATCAAGAGATTCAAGCATTCCAATCCATGGTTGGAGTCATAGTAGATTCACCTCAGAAGAATTGAAGTCCTGTTGTTGAATTCCTTCTTCTCCGAGGAATAGGATTCTTCTAGAAGCTGAATTCCGGGAAATATTTCGACATTCAGATCAAAGGTATGCATCGGTCGATCATCTCTGTGTTTGTTATCCCTCTCGATCTGTCTTTCTTTATTTGATTCTTCATTCTGTCTGTTTTCACCATAAATTTTGCTTTTAAGCACTCTCATTGTATATGATTCTGCTGTGGTTACTTGACTTTTTAGAGTTGAATTGTCTAGTATTCTACTTTTTATATCAAGTTTTTGGTGTTATCAGTAGTTAAATAGGTGAGTTTTAACCAATCAATTGATTCCCAGCAATTCTCTGGTTTCGGATTTTTGTTCGATAATGGAACTGAAAGAACTAGAATGTATTTCCAAGAACAATCTAAGAGACTTTTGCTCGAGATTTTACTTTTTCGTTATTGAATTTTGATCTAAAAGTGATGGAATCTATTGTATCTAACAGAATTGCGTGAAAAAAAGGAGGGAGGAACAAACGAAGTCGTGTCATCTACGTACGCTGCTTCTATTGGATCTGGCCAGCTAATTTGAATCTGTAAACTCTCATTCTTGGTTCCTGCGATCTAAGTGAAGGAGCAGATTGTCAATTTACACGATTGCCGCAACTAATTCGATCCGAAATCTGAGAAGCAAAGTCTCAAAATCTTCCTGGGGGCGCAGAGATGGAGCTTTCTCAACCCCGTCCCTGTGGAGCCCAAGGTAACCATCATTTAACATCCCTCACGCACAAACGTACAAATTTAGAGGTTTTGTGGCTGCGCGTGGAGTGGCGCGTGTGTTTGTCCAGAGAAGAATTAACAACGGGTTTGTTTGTGTGTGTGACGTTGATTTCGCAGGTGCCAAGCCCACGCAAGACTTTCTTTCACTTTATTCACCTGCTCAACAAGATCCAACCCCCAGCATTGCAGGTAAATTTGAACCCTCTTTCACCTTAATTAATCTTGTCAACTAATTGCTTAGATATCATTCTTCTAATTGTAATATTTGATTCTGTCAAAACTAAACTAATGCTTGAATTGTAAATGGTTTTTGAATCTCATCTCTTTTTAATCCTCTGTTTTTGTTATTTTTTTTGGGGGGGGGGGGGGGGGGGGAGGAGAGATGTAATTCCTATTACTATATAGTGAGTGGGAGATGGAGTGAATGCTTGGGTAATATGGGGGTCCTAGTTGGAGAAAATGGGGAAAAAACTTTGGAGCTTGTTGAAATGCTAGCTTTTCAAAAAATTAGCTTAGGACAGTTCCAATCGTACTCCTAAACACTAATTTGCAGGAGAAGGGATCTCCAAGTCTCCAACTGTACTGCAAAAAGAGTGGCGAAATGCTGGAGATGGGAGAGAAAGGTCATATATGGCGTGAGATTGGAGTCGAAGCGGTTTTTGGCGTTAATGTCCCCACTAATTTGTTTTTTTTTTTTTGCCGCTAGGCTTTGAAACGATCTTATAAGTTCAACTTATTGCTAACCACATAAGGTTTTTTAGTAAACTCAAAAAATAAACTAGATCATGGTTCTCAAATGTGATCATATTCTTGAGAGTGTTTTGTTATTTACAAAAACATTTATCAATTTAGTATATTATATCAGCTAGGCATTACAATGCAAAAACATTTATCAATTTAGTATATTTATTTCCAAAGGGGTGACCATTCAAGTATATTTTGTTGGTATGTTTTACCTTATCAATAGACAACTACATATAATATCTTTGTGTGAGTAGATGTGCACGTGTTTAATTACGCCATGCTGTTCTTATGTTCATGATATCTGATTATCCATACAAGGAAAAAGACCCACGAGTTAGGTGGTACCCGTGACCTCCATGCTGGGTCCGGGTCACGGTTTGGGTTGCGTAGGCCATACCTTTTGGATTTTAGCCTGTTGACCGACAGAACCCCCACCCATGGAGGAGGCAGAAGTGCAGGCTTTCAGATGTATCATGTCGTTGGTATTGAGTTTTGCTGTCAAAAGTTATAAACTTATTGAGTTTTGCTGTCAAAAGTTATAAACTTTTTAAGCTTTTGGTTGCATTTTTCTTTACTGTCTGACAAAACACCATCTCCGTGACTCCATTTACATAAAGTTTGTGGAATGAAGAAAAAGTTTCTATTATTATAAAAATATTTAGAATAAAAATGTTATACAATCTTCGTACTTCTGATCGATGCATTTATCTGGTGCAAGGATTATTCTTTGAAACATATTGGGTTTGATGTTTGGAATTGGATGTCTTGGAAAAAACAAATATTTAAATACCAAATAAGAAATACAATATTCTATGATCTACTATAAATTTTGAAAAAGAACCCCGAGCTTTTGGGTAGTTCTGAAACATGATTTCCTTTGCTTTCCTACTAAAAAGTTGCTTTTTTATTTGATCAAATAAACTAGCAGGATGTTCGAGTCCATTAGAACCTGCTGGTTGCCACACCCAAAAATGGTATTATACGACTTGGTAACATACAACCCCTTATGTTATGTGCTGACGCTTTTGAGTCTTAGACATATGATTTGTAATCATTAAGACCGTCTCCAAAGGGCAATGGCACCAAATTGCTCCAATGGGATCTCCATTTTTCACACCATTGTTGGCGTTATGAATAGTAAAACACCAAATTTGGTGTAACACTATTCATTTACACCGGTTTTTGTTAAGTTTTCGTAATTATGCGAGCTTAATTTATCTTTCACCTATTCTTTTACTACATGTTTAGAACGAAGTTGTGTGCAGTTATCATTAAGACCATCTCCAATGGGCAATGGCACCAAACTCTATTTTGACAGCAAATTGCTCCAATGGGATTTCCATTTTTCCCACCATTGTTGGTGTTATAACAATAGAACACCAAATTTTGGTGTAACAGTATTCATTTACACCAAATTTTAAGTTCTTGGCAATTACCTGAGCTTAATTTATCTTTCACCTATTTATCGGGCAACATTGTGATATAACTCTTCTTCCTCTGATGATATTTTTTCCTGCTTTTACGAAGTTGTGTGCAGTTATCAAATTGTGTTCAACAATTTGCAAGTTGGGTTGCCATAAGAATCTAAACTTATTTTTGCATTGGTTTTCCAATATGAAGCTTTACGCGCTTGATTGATCTGTCTCTCTCTAATGTCCATGACTAATAAACAGGTGGTTACATCAGAACTCATGACTTCTTGCAACCACTGGAACAAGTTGGGAAGAATGTTGCCAAAGAAGGCATTGAAAAATCTTTCCTATCTGGTCCCCCAACTATGGTGGAGCACATTCTCCCTGGGGGGATGGGGACTTACAGCATTAATCACATTTCATATATCAATGAAAGCCAAAAGGTACCAAAGCCTGAGGGGATTGTGACCTCGGCTGCACAATCAAGTAGTAGCAATAACAATGATGAAAACTCAAACTGCAGTTCTTACACAGGAAGTGGTTTCACGCTGTGGGAAGAGTCCAATGTAAACAGGGGAAAGACGGGGAAGGAGAATATTGCAGGAACTAGGCACGTCATTAGAGGTACATTTGTTGTCTCTTTGCTTACAATCTTATTGCACCTGTTCAAAGACTATAAATCAACTAGACGAGTAAATGAAAAAAATATAAAAGTTCATACCATATATTATATTAGAAGTCTTGCAAATTAAAACAACACAAATAATATAAAATGATAAAGTAACATATGAAATTCACTTAAATAAAATCATTCATCTAACATTCTTCCAAAGTTGGAACCTTGAATTACAAAATCGGTTGAAAGAGTAAAAGCCTGAAACATTATAGTTGGGCTAAAACCTCAAACATATATAATCAAGTAAAGACTAAAATATGTATAATTGGGCACCAAATTTTTTAAGCACGTAAGAAACACCCTCAGGCACAAACTTGGTAATGAAACATGGATTGACAAGTGATAACTTCAGTAAGCAATCACATAGTAGGCAAGCATGAATAATTGTAACTAAAATCATTTACTAAATGTGCTTTACAGACGGGGGGATGAAAGTTGGAGTGCCATGGATGACATCCATGGAGCGGCCATCGCAGTCCTCATCTATCCATAACCATCCAAGCACAACCTTCAGTTCTCTTTCCTCCTCTCAGTCAGTCATATCCTCTCCACTTCTACATCTCCATGTCTTCGATGAACTCTCTTACCTTGTACTTTAGTTCCATATTTTTAACAGTCTTCTTGTATCTTTGCAGTCCATCATCAGCCCCTAAGAATCAGTATTTTCTTGATGCGGTGAAGTCTGCTATGAGTGTCCGAGAAGAGGAATACAATGATGAAGAGTTTGTTATCAAGAAAGAGCCATCCTTCCACCATAAAGGTGCCTCTCCTTCCCTATCTCTCTCTCAAGATGAATTTTCAGATGATATTGTTGAACTGAGATTGTACAAATTCATCTATGAATTGATAGGTGGCATATCGGTTAAAGTTGGCACCACGAACCCTGATCAAAAGCCCGACAGCCCACGTTCAAAGCACTCTGCAACAGAACAGCGCAGAAGAAGCAAAATTAATGACAGGCACGTTAGTCTAACCCCAGTTCTCATTGCAAATGCTTTATATACTAAATATATATAATGTGTTCGATGAGTCCAATTTTTGTGATGCAGTTTTGCTTATGATTGTGTGCTATAGGAGAATCATTGCTTAGAAACTATAATGCTAATCCTTCACCCCTTAATTATAGTTATTATTTTTGCAGCTCTATGATGATGTAGTGTGGCCAAAGTAGATGATGTCATGTATATTACAATGCTTCAGCATGATATTTGTTACCTATCTTGTAATTCTGCTTAAGGTAGAGGGCAGGTCTACCTACATCTTACCCTCCCTAGATCACACCCCTAGTGGGATATACGGGCTTAGTTTGGTCTATCTTCTATTTCTACTTGCCTATAGGTCTCATACATAGTAACAACTTGTCACATATTGATTACACTCAGAATTTTTGAGTTTCTTATAGTGAGTTACTACTAATAACTGAAAAGTAGATTTGCGAGCTCATTATAAATTCCTTAGTAATGGGCTACTAACAAGTTACTTTGATTTGGATGTCTACCACTTTGGGTTAGGGGAGTTACAAATACTCCCCCCAAAACAAATGTTTACATATCTATTTTTAATGTATACTTTCCAATTCTACCCTTAATTATGATCTGGATAAATTTATTACTCCATCTATTTTTAAGCGTAAGATTGTCATTCAGTCCGTTACAAATATGCAATAATAACCATTTCTAAGACTGCATGCTTTTTTCATTATGGACATTTATTTTTGGACGGAGGGAGTAGTAACAGAGGGGTCCCTCAAGGTGCAATAGGTTGGACTCTTGCATCTGGAGAGGAAATTGATTATGAGTTTGTTTGAGGTTTTGTGCAAGCCTGGTTTTACATTTAGAAACGATAGAAGACTTGGGTGGTTCCCAGTGTTAATTGTTAATGCCAATATTACAAGGGACATGTAGCTCAGTTGGTAAAGGGACGGAGTGACTTTCCTCCAGGAGACGGGCTTGAACCCCTCCGCTACCCTCAGCTGCTGAGTCATCTCTGAACTCCCTCCTCACATGTGGTTCCTAGGGGGGGGGGGTAACCTTTTGCTCAAATATTACAAGGGACAATCTCTTGGAATTATTCACTCCATTTGCAATTTATTGTTATGCAATCCTTGTTGAAAGGGGAAAAAGGTTTTTTTTTATCAGTTAGCTGATGATTGGGAAATGATTAATTTACTGTATTTTTATGATTCATGCAGGTTTTCAATGTTGAGAGGAATCATCCCTCATGGTGATCAAAAGAGAGATAAGGCATCATTTTTGTTAGAGGTATACTAGGAGATATCAATAAGAGAGATTGGTTTCTGATTCTGTTATCGTTTTTCAGAACCAACAAGTCTGAGGTTTAATGTGTCTTTTCTCTGATTAAATTTAACTCGCATCATAGGTTATCGAATACATTCAGTTTCTACAAGAGAAGGTGCACAAGTATGAGGATTCATACCAAGGATGGACCAACAAACCACCAAATATGACCTCATTGGTACAATTCATACTTCCACATTTTCTATGTCTCAATCGTCATGTTTGCAGAGGAGTTGAAATGTCTCATACACCCATTCAGTTTGCTTGCTTCCTATGAATCTAAGAACTAGCCAGTTTTTTGCGTCTGTAGGGTGCGTTTGGTACGCGGGACAAAACTAACAACGAAAACTTATTGTCCCAGCATTTGGCATGACTTTAGAACGGGATAGAATGAGACTGAGCTAGATGAAAATACATTTTTTTTTGTCCCACCAAAGTAGGTGGGACAAAAATCATCAAAACAAGTGGAACAAAAATTATGGAGTTGTGATAAAATTGGTAAGTTACTAAATAATCCATGTCAAATTAAAACCTTGCGACCAGAGATGCACAAAAAATCCCAAGTCCGAAGCCCAGGACAAGTCTCAACGCATGATCAGCCTGAAATTTTGGGAGCAGTCCCGGGGTGAAAAAACATGGAAAAGCCTGATCGGACCTTTTTCTACCCCAAAGCCAGGCCCAGGCCTGAAGAAGCATGGACCATTTTTTCCTCACTAAAACGGGCTTTAGGGGCCTGGCCCAAGCCCTATTTGAGCCTTGTGCATCTCTACCTAGAACATTCGGCAATTGTTTAACCCGCTTACCTCACTTTCGTCCGTCCAATTCCATCCGATCGTATCTTGTCTTACATACGTACCAAATGGACCCTAGAAATCTTCTTCAGTTGTATACCAATGAATTAGCAGACTTTATAGCTTAGCTATGGAAACACACATGCTCTCTGCAAGAAAGATGGATATTCTTTTACTAACAAACACATTCGTTCATAATAGTTTTAACATTCTAAACCTACCACAATTGGTTATCCTCTCAACTTACCTGCCTTCCTTTTAACAGAACAACATACCAACGAAATCCTTGGTTGATCATCAACCTCAACTTCCAAACAATACATCTCGGCCAGCATTCGTCTTGGATTCTAACACCAGCTCGCTTGATGCGATCAAAGAAACGACGAATACATCATTTCCTGTTGCTGAATCCTTTCATACACACATATGTGCTCCTGATACAGCCTCAAAGGCTCAACCCCAGTTACTGCATAGCAGATCATGTACAACTGACTGCACTGGAGACAAGTTGAAAGATCAAGACCTGATAATTGAAAGTGGTACAATTAGCATCTCAACCATCTATTCTCAAGGGTCAGAATCTTTACCATGCCCTCATTTTGTCATCCTGCTTCTTTGTCTTTATGAAAACAACCGCTCTAAATTTTGGGGTAGAGTCAGGTCTATGTACTTCATACCCCAAGGGCGGATGTAAAGGCATAGTTGGGGCGTTGAAAATTATTCATTATAAATTGAATTTTTATATATAATTATATAAATCTCTTGTTTTAACCTAGGTGTGAGAATAAAAACCTCTCCGTTGAGGAACCCGGTGTACCTGCCCCAATGGGGCCGGGATTCCCCACAAAACCGGGGACCTGGGAGGGGACAGGGATCCCACAAAAGTTTAAAACTGGGGATTCCCGACCTGCCACGTCCCCGTATATTAAATATATATTGTATATTTATTATTAAATATATTATTTATAAATAAATTAGTAAAAAATCCCCATTGGGGATTCTGGATGGGAATTGAAGTTCTCGCTCCATTCCCATGCCTACTTTGACCTCCGTAAAAAGAAACTTACAAATTTCATTTCTTTTTACATTATACGTTATAAATTTTATTTGCATGTAAATTAATTAAATTCCACCCCCAATTACCAAAATTATTAAATGTGCCATAAGCTTGTTTTGTTGTTATGTATTATGGACTAAGGTGTGGGTTTTCAAAAACAGATTATGCAGTGGTCTAACGCAAGCGCTAAGGAGGTCGGGCGTGGATTTGTCACAAGCCAACATCTCGGTACAAATTGATCTGGGAAAGAGATCATCAAATGCGAGTAGTATCTCACCACCCGATCTCAAGGTACTTTTCGGTTCCTTAAACAAGTTATAAATACAAATATTTTCCGAGGGACCAATTCAGTTTTCTCTTTACAACAGGAAAATGGGACTCCTCCCATCGATCAAACGCTACCACGCTGGCAAGAAGAGAGCGGTGAAGCCTCTAAGCGGTTGAAGACAAAAGCATAACGTAACACAAATTCAATTCTTTTGCCTGTGAAGGGGTTCGACTCCAAGCACCATCCACGATGCATGATATACCTCTCCATAAATAGTTGTGCCCACCGATAAGATACTCTGGGGCCGTTTTAGAAGGTGATGTCATACCTTTTTTGAAGAATTCAATTCATTTGATTTAATTCGTGATTTCCTGGGGGGCAGGCAGGTGGAGATTCTGTTTAACATTATCGAGGATCATACATGTTTTTTTTTTCTAAATTGACTGAAAATAGTCAATCTTTCCAACCAAATTAACTTTTTAGCCACTTTTTAACCGAATTCCCATTTTAGCTAAACTCGATTTTTAGATTAAAGAAAAAGAAAAAAAGATCTTTAAACATTGCGTAAACAAGTTACGTAACGATCCCCATTTATGTAAAGAATTTCCTTAAGAATACCCATTTGTTTCTCTTTTTTAACTTAAAATAGGCTTTACGCAAATATGCAGACATTTGCGTAACTCTTGGGATATGGTTTTAAAAATGACTAAAAAAATGAATTTGGTAGGAAAGATTGTATATTTTGGTCAATTTCCCATTGTTTTTTGTGTTCAAAAGAGAGATTGTACATCTGATTAGTCCTTTTTTTGGGGGGGGGGGGGGTGGTTTCTCTAATTGTATTATTAATTATTTATGTTTATTTCTGATAGATGATTTTTTTGTTGTACATGGAACTATTTGGCCATGAAATGGTTTTAGATGGTAAAAGAAAAGGTGTACACTCATATCTCATTAGATAATACACGTGAGGGGACTTGGTTGGTCGTGTGCGGACGATTTGGCCTGCAACCTACATAGGTCGCACCAAAGATTGCCGGGTTTTGATTTAGTATCACATGTGATTGACGACAGTCTCACATATGATATGGGTGGTGTTGTGTTTTTTTTGTAAAATGGGTGTTCTCGTTTGATCCCAATTCCCACCCTTAAGTAAAACATGTATATTGATTTACAAAAATAAATACGGTAATGTGTAAATTGTTATCTTATCCAAGTTAGGTGTTGTTTGGTTGGTTTTCATTAAGTTTTGTATGAATAAAGTTGTTTGTGTTGATTAATTGAAAAGTTTTATGTTTGAGAGAATTTTTTTCATAGATGGAAGAAAAATATATTTTTTTTTAATTCGGAGGGACAAGTTTGGAAGAAAAAAAAACTTGTCTTTTTGTATAAAGCTCACTCCTAGAAACTTATTGAATATACCACTTTCTATATTATATAATAATTATCAAACAATCATTTATTGCTGACCAAATAAGCTGTGAGTCCTATCAAGTTTATTAAATTGTTAACAAACAAACCCTTCAAGGAAACTTGATGATACCTAATGAGAAGAGGTGGCAATGTAGGTAGAGATATAAAATCAAGTATATGATATGTATGTAGATGTAAATGAGTAAGCAATGGGGCATACATACATGATTGTAACAAAAACATGAAGGGAAAAAATTGAAATACAATGGGGTATACATACATGATTGTAACAAAATCATGAAGGGAAAAAATGTATATTTCAATGATCCTATATGAGCATTTTAAGTTATACTAGAACAGTACTCGCGCAATACAGAGAGATATATTTCGATTTTAATGTTCTATTTTATTATTTGTCTTTGTCGATGTTATAATACGATTTTATGTGTTTTTAAGAAAACAATAATAATTATATTTTTGAATAAATATAAATTTGAAGATATCATAAAAATTTGAAAAAAAATATCTCAATGATAATATTAAAATCAACTATTTAAAATGAGATATTTATCATGTATTTGATTATGTTTATCTGCAGTTAGTTACACGAATTTAGATATGGAGCTTTAATAAATTGTACTTACACACAATCTACTTGCAATCTTGAGTTTCAAGTAATATGCATTAATAAACAGTACTTTACGCATAAAAAATGGTTTTTAAGTGTTTTTGTCAAATGTTTTATAATATAGTATAGATTATATATCGATATCATCTAAAAATACAACTCTACTGGTACTTCAGTATATAATATTTATATATGGAAAATACAACAAATAAACCTACATACCCTCCTTACTTTTGGTGAGGTGTGAGCCTCTAACCTCCTAGTAAGCCAAAGACTACGATACCGTTAGAAAAAAGACTTTTTGGTACTTAAATCATATTTTGTTTCAAGTATTAAAGAGGGTCAAATATCTTATTTATAAATTTCCAAGTGGAATTGAAACAAATGTGTCTGACAATTGTTTTAGGTCATATCCACATGGTGTTAACACAATTTTTTTTATTAACATGGATATCTAATCCGCTATGTGAGCCGACTAATCCCAGGACAACCATCTGTTTTGCGGGTAGCCCGGAGTCACCGCATTTGAACCTCCGGGACCACAAAGAGATTTTTATTCCTCCTTAGATTTGAACATGAGACCTCCAGGTACTTTTGACCTTTGACGCTTAAGCTCAAACCAATCAGGCACCATCCTTGTGGTTGAAAACAAAATTTTGGTACTCTTGGAAAAGTCTTGAAGCAAGGATTCTATAAAGTATTAATTTTAACAAATAAATTTAGAAGTTGAATTGATGTTTTTGTGAGTAAGGCTCAAGATTCTGTTTGTAATTAGTTTAAAGTTAACTCTTAGAATCATATTAAATCATTGATGGAATTAATGAGATTTGATGTCAACATATATTTATGAACTGATAGCAAAAAGACACACGTAAATGTGGCACAATAGTAGTGTAACTGCATACCACTATTGAGTTCGCTTTTTTCAAATAATACAATGATAAGTTTTAAAGATCGTTTTCTGCAGGTACTGGTCTAAGAATCAGAGATTTTTACGAACTTCTGGTGCAAAGTTGAGAGTTTATAAAGATGATTTGTTGTTGGTAGAATATTGATGTTTTAAAAATAACAGTTAATGAAAAACGGGTATTGGTGTAAGTTTTCCCCTAGAGTATAATAGTAACTTAAATGGTTGATAAAACCGGTCACAAAATAATCTCATTCGATTTCCTCCTCTCGAAGCTATGTCATATGGGTTGGGATTACGGTTTTCTCATAAAGTTTCCACAAATGTTAACTTTCGGTTTGCCAACCGTACTAAATAGATCTCAAAGATCTTAGTTCTGCCGGTATGAAGAGATGCGCATATATCCATGACACACCAACTCGACCGACATCGGAACCTTAGTTCGGTTATGCAAAAACCCATATCTCTATGCGATCAACGAAGATTTTCTCAAACCTCCTTGCATCATTCAAGCCACATTTTGGATCCGCCTATATCTGGGTCAAATAGCTAATATTGACACTTACAAGGGACCAGCTTGTCTACGTTGAGTTCAAGCTTCAATTTGAATGATCAAACTGATGAGTTAGCAAAAAGTGTGAAAGTGTTACATTTTGACCTCTTGGGTTTGGCTTACACCCCCATGGGATGTTGGGGGGGGGTTAGCTACTGCTCATAAGTTAAAAAAACATAATGCAAGAACAAAAATACTCGAACATAAATTGCATTAAACGTAAACTTGCCACTATGGTCAAGTCCCACAAAGTGAACAGAAAATAAAATACAACAGAAGTTAAAACTAGCTAGAAAGCAAATAAAAAAAACTAAGGAGTTGTTTACCAAACACTTATTCGGTAAGTGCTTACCGGTAAAATTTAACACTATTATTTACTTATCAGGTAAGATTTTAGTCCACCAAAACGACAACGTATACAACAATTTATCTGGTAAGCGCTTACCGTGGTAAGAGTCGTCGCCCTCACTTATCGAGTAAGACTCTTGGTCCTTATCTCGCTCTTACCGGATAAGACTCTTGGTCCTTGTCTCGCTCTTACCGGATAAGATTCTTGGTTTTTACCATATTCATCCGGTAAGGTAATGTTACTTGGTAAGCACTTACCCGGGTAAACGTTTGTTAAACAACCCCTAAATGGTTTGAAGCTGCTTCGCAGTTACAAAAGATTGTTCTTATGAAATGCCCAAGTGCCTCTTTATATAGTAGAGGAGGTGAGCGAGCGAGACTTGAGAAGGATAAAAGGACTTCTCACCATTTGTCTTCTAACTCAAGTTTGTCTCATTTCTCTTCTGTGCTGTGAAAACTTCAACTTTGACTAAACCTGCAGCCTGCATACTCTTTCAATATTGCAATGAATCTTGAAAAAGAGATTTTTCTACAGCTTCATCCACTGCTTACCACAGCAGTGACTCGCCACTATATCTTAAAATGCCAAAATCCGACTTTTTAGTTATTTCTTAACTTTAAGACTGATTTAGACTAAAGAGATATTAGGAGGCTCAAATGGGTATTTGGTTTGATAAAAAGAGTAAAAATGAACTAAAAAGATGACAAATAACTCTTAAGAAATGAGGATCATCATGAACCGAAAAGAATCAAATTGTGAAAACAAAAAGTGGGTGTAATTAAACCTTGTCATTATTGTTGTTATTGTGGGTTGTTGTTGACTTGTTTCAGCCTTTCAGGGTGTAATGTGGCTAAAGTTGAACTAGGAGGGTTGATTTTGTAGATGATATATTCTCAATATAAATAATATAACTTTATTATTAATTTTAAATATAAACTTTATAACATTATTAACTTTATTATTGTTTGCGCCTACCTCTCTTCCCTCCATCATCGACACATACAAAAACACCCTTATCTCCGGTATCTGCAAGGCTGCAACTTCCATCTTCCCATCTCTGTATTCTCCAACCCTATCCCACAAACACCTCATCTTCTTGTATAACATCAACACAAGCTCTACACCATACATAACATTGGTACCAATCGAAATCCTACTATTTTATGTCTGTTCTTACTTTATGCATACCCACTTCAAAATTTTGATCTTTTCTTTTAGAAATTGTGCGTCACTGATAACTTGTGGCTAATTATGAATTTCGTGAGATCTTTTGCAAGGGTGGGTTCTTCTTCATAATGACTCAATGGGTGATGGTTAACGATTGGTTCTTCTTCTTCACATGGAGTCATGGTTGTTAGGTGTGGCTATGGATATGTCACCATGGAGAAGACCTTCAAGGTATCTATAATCTCCCCCCCCCCTCTCTCTCTCTCTCTCACACACACACACACACACACATATTTCACTTGATATATAAGATACATATTAGATAATTTAAAAGTTCTATAAGAAATGATGTTCATCTGAATTTCATTGGGATTTTCGCGGGGGGGGGGAATTATACCTGGTGATTAAGGTATGAATGAATGATTGCATAGGGTTGGAGAAGATGAGGTGTTCGGTGAAAAGGATTGTAGAAAAGAGGGTTTGGGAGTTGCATTCGCGAGATGGAATGGATTTGCAGGCACCAACATTGGGAGGGGGGGGGGCTTTGTTTATATATGATTTAACTTGTGCATATATGCTTTAACTACTTGGTACTCTATTTTTTAATAAAAATAATGGCAAACGGACTAAAATACCCTTCACTTAACAGCAACAACTAACAGCCATGGACCAAAAATGTAACAAAATCGAAACTTTATGACATTCCTTGTGATTTCAAGAAGTTAGGGACAAAAATCAGAGTTCTCATAAACCCTAGGGACAATCTTTGTAATTTACTCTAGTTCATATAAGAAGCTAATACAATATAAATTTTGTTGAAATAGAATAAAGTATCATTCCCAAAAAAAAACACATTTAATAACATCCCCACATCATCATTGGGAATGAATTCAACAAATCATTAACAATTCAAATATACATACATACATATATATATATATATACATATACATATTCTATATGAACCTGATAACCATATACACGTAATAAAAATTGGGTATGTATAAATTACCAATCATTTAAAAAAAATTGAAGAGTGTTCAGAAGTAAACACATAAGCATTGTTCATAAGCATAATTTGATGTTTGTTCATAGGTGAACCATGTAGCATTCCCCATCTATTTCATATATAAACGAGACTACATAGTGTATATGTTTACTAAAATAAAACATGGATATTACAAAAATCTTTACGACTTTTTTTCCATATACATCCTTGCTCACACATGAACAATTCCTATAAATATTGAATATTTGTTCATACATGAACCATTAACCAAAAATAGTTGTAGAAAAATATGATGTCGGGGATCTTGCTGTCGGTTTCGGTTCGGCTGACGAGAGTAATTATCGGATAGTTACATTGTTATTAATGGGGACTTACAAAACATCTCACTTTCATTAATGGACAACTAAAGTCTTTTTCCAAAATACTCCTTGTAAACATTATTCACTTATGTTACCTTGTCTATGTGTGTAATTATTAAATTTTATGTCATGAATGATCTCAACCACAAATTTCAAAGATCAATGGACAAAATTGATTCACAAAGTCAACACCATGTACTGGGTTAACAAATGAACTCACCCCTATCTATCTATCTATATATATATATATATATATATATATATATATATATAGAGAGAGAGAGAGAGAGAGGAAGGGAAGTTACAGTAAGAAGCGAAGAAAATTGAATCCTTGATCACTTTTAAGGATTGATCTAAAAATGAAGATCTCTTCTTACGTTTTTCACTTTAACTTCCCTTTTCATCGGAACCCAACCACATACATATATATATATATATATATATATATATATATATATA